CTCAGACCATATATTTTTGGACCGGAGTTTTCAACTTTGCTTCCAAGAAAATTTGTTGCTTTATTGGCTTTTTCCGTCTACTTTCTTCATTATCCTCAGGGCACTTTGAATATTAATTTCATTTCTTCAACGCGCACTTAAATATTTACAATAAACTTACTGGGCTTTCGGCATTTTCAACATTTGGGTTAATGCGAGTGCCACTTCAGTCAATGATTCTACTAGGAAAATTCTTATGCATGTGTTTATGTGTGTATGTATGTAAGTGTGCATGTATGCATGAATAAATTGGTGTTAGGCGTTGGTTTGCCAACAAAAAAGGAGTCGACTTGATTATTTCAGTTGCCTTAAAGCACAAAAGTTGCTCATTATAGCTTAGTGTATAATTATGTACATATGTATATTTATATATATATATATATATACTCTCAGGTAGAAGTGAGCAAGGAAACGCAAAAAAGGACAATGAAAACATGAAATACGAAAATGAATGCGCTTCCATGAATGTAGTTAGTAAATACATAAATAATTTTTGACATCATCCTTGACTTGGTTATACAAACACGTAGATTTTGAATTAAAGCAACATACAATATATATGTACATACATAAATATGGTTGTGAGGCATTGCCATTTACCATTTGTGCGCTGGCGGGCGCGTGCTTCACTCTACTTTGGACATTTCCATGTGGTTGCGGGTGTATGTATGTGTGGTGTGCCTCTTTCCCACGTATGGCTGTTTATATGGGTTAATATTTATGTGTGTATGTATGTATGTAGCACACCTTTATTTTCTGCCTTGACTTTATATTGTGAATTCCACGGGACGTGCTAATGCATGCGAGACTCCCAAAATGCTAACATAAAAACTACAAATTCCGGTCATTCAACGTGGATCTGTATATACATACGTGCATATGTATGTATGTATATTACGTACGAATGCTGGAAGAGTAACTATGACTGCATGATGCGGGTGCAAAGTAAAAGAACGTGAACCACTCTTGTTGGTCGCCATTCTTGTCAAGTAATAACTACTAATGTTTTGTCGTTGGTCACAATGTTGAAATTACATACATACGTATGTGCTTAGATGCATACATACATATGTACATGCATATTTACTAGAATTCTAGTACAATAGGTATTTAAAATGTGTTCTACAAGCTCGCGTGTAGCCGTGAAAGCGGCAGTTAAACAAGTGAACATAAAAAGCAACAAGAAAAAACAAAAAAAAAAAAACAAACAAAAAATTATATAGAGTAATTGTGAAACTGGAGAGAAAAGTAAAATCGACAAAACAAAATGTGGCACATAAATGGCGCGTCACATACACTTGCACACAGATACCCATGTGGGTTTGTTTGCACATGTGCTTAAATAAAAGCCATTTTGCCATACTTTGTAGTCATGCACATACATATTCATATACATATATGTTTGCATGTATTTATATACAATATATACGATATTAGACCCGCTTGTAGCAGTGTTGTCGAAAAACTAGCAGTTGAATGACAATTACAATTATTATATGTACATACCCATGTATATATAAATGTAAAGCAAAAAAATATTCAGTCGCTACGAAATCCAAAGCCGCCGTAGCGATGAAAAGGTCGAAATTGCCAAAAGAAAAATCTCAAATAATATCAATGACCGACCGATTCAACCGCAAGTCGATTTCAATCAGTCGCAGAACGTAAAAATAGGAGTATGGAAGGCACATATGTATATACATACATACATATGTATGTGGAAGCACGGTGTGAGCAAAATGTCAGATTTTTGGTAATAAAAATGTAAAATTTTTATATAAAAATTTTCTACTGGCATAAATCGATATAGGCAATAGAGTAGTAATTATTTATTATATATTATAAATTTCACTTTTTATTTGATATTTTTTGTTGTTATTTTCGTTTGTATTATTTTAATTTACGTCACTTCAATTAAGTTCAATTATTTCTATTTCAATCACTTATTTTTTATTATTGTTTTATTTTTTATTTTTTTTTTACATTTTTATTACTAGTATATAGTACATTAACTTTAGTCCGAATAGGTATCAGTAGGAGAAGAGAGAGACCCATCAAAATATTAATCGATCGAATCGTCTGTTTGAACGCAAACTAGTTTCTCAGTTATTGAACTATTGGATTGGGTATGGGTATTTTTGGAATGTATCGATCAGTTGTTGTAACCTAGCAAATCACAATATCACATAGCAGCCATACAACCGCTTTGTTCAGATATGTGTCACGAATACTTCAATCGTGAAGTTTGTTATTCCAAATAATTATATTCTAATAAATTTTTACGTTGAAAATCATCGAAATTGAATTTTGCATTTTACCATAATTTTATTAAATTCATGAAAGGCGTAAAGAATTCGGCATTGCCAACGTTTTTTTATTTATTAAAAATATTTAGTTTAGTTTTATATTATTATTATTTTTTTTTAATATTATTATATCTTAAGTTATGTAAATTTGATTGCTTTCTGTTTTATTATTTTTCATTTCAATAAACTGTATTATATTTTATTTTATTTTTCGTTTCGTAATATTTTTTGTATATTTATTTAGTTAACTTATTTTTTATGTTTACTGATTTAATTTTGTATTATTTCACCTAATTTTTTCTTTTTATATTTAAGCTCATATTTTAATATTTTTATACTAAAGAAAAGGTGTTTCTTTTAGCTATTATCTTCTTGGCAACACTGGTTTGAACAGCTGACGCACGTTTCGTGTTTTTTATCACTGTCAAACATCTGCAGTTTGGTCTATAATTTAACCCTGGATCGTGTTACAAACGAACAACGCTTGAAAATTATTCAATTTTATAAAGAAGGCTCAAAAGAAAATTTTTTTGACGGTGCCACATGCCTTACAGCACGCGTAACAATGGACTTATTTAGATGCGAGTTCGGTGAACATTTTATTTCACGTTCGGCTCCGGTCAATTGGCCACCTAGATCGTGCGATTTAACGCCTTTAGACTTTTTTTGTGAGGCTATGTTAAGTCTAATGTCTATACAGACAAGCCCGCTACAATCAATGCATTGGAGTACAACTTTGAAGCATTTATTCGTGAGACATCAGCCGAAATGTTGGAAAGGGTATGCCATAGATTAAGCGGAAGGAGCATTTGATTGAGGCGCAGTCACGGTCAATTATTGCATAAAATAATATCCAAACATCCCATTATATGGACCGATTCAAATAAAGATTTTATACATTTTTCTTAATTCTGTGTTTTATTTTATGAAAAACTTTCCTATAGCTCTTAAAAAATCACCCTTCATAATATTTTTTTATAATTCGTTTAGTATTAATTTTATTTATATTTTTATTTTCATTTAATATTAGTTAGTTTTAAGTTATTTCATTCTACCTTATATGTTATGTCTGATTGTTATTTGAATTTGTTTTTTTTTTTTTTTAATTAATCTATGTTTACGCGAGGAGCGTAAATCCTTGCATAACTTTGGGCGCAGGCTAATTACATCCTGTTATTTGGGTTTTTGCTTTCTAGCATATATGTATGAATGATTTTGCATTCATGCATGTATGCAAGAATGCAATTCTCAAATGATCCGCGAAGTGATACGGCTAAAGAGTTCATTGTATGCAACGGAATTCACCTTCTAATGGTCCAGGTCAGATATCTTGCTATCGATCTGTTTGCGTCTTCCCATCCATGCTCCTTGAGTAAGCGATTGGCGTCTGCGCAGCGTCAGGTGCCTCCTATGGCATTGGGTAAAGTCCACAACTTTTTGTAACGAGCCTAGTGCTCAACTTGAATACATTTCACATTCTCCCCCACCCGCTTAGACAATCTATATAATTCAATTAATTTATTTTATTGTTGTTTTTTATTTATTTAATTTTATTAATTTTTTAATTTTGCTGATTATTTATTTTAATATAATGCTTTTCATTTTTTATTTGTTATTTACATTTTTAATATAAAATTTTAATATATTTCTAATAATTTATTTTTATTTTTAGTCAATTTAATTTAATTTTGTTTTAAGTTATTTCATAAGCATAAGCTTTATAGTTAACTGATTTTGTTTTATTTTAATTTATTCATTCAGTTCATTTTATTCTTAATTTATTTATTTTTGTTATATATATTTATTGTTATATATTACTTTATTTTATGTTATTTAGTTCTTATATTATTTATGTTTTAAACATTTTTTTATATTACTAATTTTTTGTACTATTTAATTTTATTTTGTTTTGCGTTATTTTATTTTTTTTTGGATTAATTTCCTTAATTTTATATTATCTATTAATATTTTATTTTGTACTATTTTTCTACACACTAATATATATATATATATATTTTTAATTGTTTTATCTGTTAATATTATAGTTTTATTCATTTTATTTAGTTTTAATTCCAAATTTTTTACTTTATTATTTTTTATTTTCTTTTTATTTATTCTATTTATTTACTTCATTTATTTGCTTCATTTTATTTATTTTTAAGGTTATATTATTTATATTATTTAATATAATTTACAATAAATTATTTACTTTTATATTATTATTTTTTTGTTCTATTTTATTACATTTTATTTTCATGTTATTTAATTTTTTTTTTTATTTAATTTTATCTATTTTATTTCACTGTGCCGCCGCGAGATATTGGGAGCGTAGAAGATTAGTTTTTGATACATGCCAATATTCGGGGTATTAAGTTTGTTTATTGGAATTTTTGGTCTCAATCCAAAAAAAAGGCGCAAAGCGAACTGCGTAGCATTCACGCGTGATTATTGCATATACTTACCTTTGTGTGTATGTATGTACATGTCTTTTAATATTAAAGTAGAATTGAATTGATTTTTCGGTGCATTGGCAAATATGCCCAATTTATATACACAGCTTGCGTGTTTTATACACTCGTACATATGTACATACATACACACACATGTGCATATTTCTCCGCATTTTGGTTTACTTTTTCTTCGCTTTTACTTCAGTTTGCCTTTTCAGGTATCGAATTTCGTGCTGAATACTGCAATGGCAATAACAACAACAACAACTCCAACGAAAACTCAAAAGCCCAACTGAAAAAAATAACTTCAACAAAAACTGTTTATGCCAACAGACAACCATCGGGTTTATGACTAATCAATTTCTACTGGTTTCTGTGTTACCGCAACCTGTTGGTACACATGTGCAGGTATGCGTAAATGTACATACATACATACATGCATATGACGTTGACTTATTTGCCGTTGTATGCATATATAGTACATATTTACATATATATATATATATATATATATTTTCACTACCTTTCATCTTCTTGCACAATGGGGCTGTAAAGTGCAAACATTTATTTGTTGTTGTCCTTTTTTCTGTTTTTTTTTGCATAGTTAATCAACCTAAAGTGCATTGCGCAAGAAATTGCGCCCTCTTAAAGCCCGCGGCGGCAGTTACATTTCCACCTTTCATGTAATTGCAAAATTATGTTCATATGTATGGATGTGTGTGTATATGTTTGTACTCGTAATAATATATTTTATTAGTAAATTTTTATTTATTTCCTTTTACATATTTACAATTCAACAATGTTTCCAACGGGAGCTTCTTTATGTAGATATAAATAGATATGTATATTAAAATACTTAAAATTGTATTGTGTACAACTTTGCTTCCGCCGTTTTATTTCCAAAATTAAAAGCTTTATTGCGAAAAAGTGCTTACAGATATATTATTCAAAGTATTGTCCTTCGCTAGCGACAACTTTCTCCCATCTTTCCGGCAATTTTCGGATCCCGGCTCGAAGTAGAAGGAGTCCTCTTTTGACGCTATCCATGAAGCAATCCATTTTTCCAATTCTTCGAAGGATTGAAAATGTTAATCTGCCAGGCCGTGAGCCATCGAACGGATTAGGTGGCAGTCAGAAGGGGCGACGTCTGGGGAATACGGCTTGTGGGGCAAGACTTCCCATTTCAGCGTTTCCAGGTACGTTTTGCCCACTTTTGTGACGTGAGGCCGAGCATTGTCGTGTTGGAGGATGACTTTGTCATGTCGCTCTTGATATTGTGGCCGCTTTTCTTTTAGCGCGCGACTAAGGCGCATCAGTTGCGTTCGGTAGCGATCTCCTGTGATGGTTACACCTGGTTTTAAGAGCTCGTTGTTCATCTTTGAAAGTTTTTTCTCTTCCACCACCATGTTTGTCTTCGATATCGAAATCACCATTTTTAAAACGTTGAAACCACTCTGAGATCATTCGATGCGCTTCAGCTGCATTTTTTTTGGAATTGTAACAGAAAAGTAAAACTTCCCGCAAATGGCGAGAATTAGGCACATAAACGGACATTTTCGAGCGTGAACAATACGAAAACAAGAACAACTGTCACTGAAACGGCGATGACAATTCGTTAGGCACTGTCCACACTCACTTTAAAGGCTTTATCATCTCAGCCGGTACAGCCACCTATCGGAAAACGGCGGAAGCAAAGTTGTACACCTGATATATCCTGCCATAAGGAGTGTATGATTAAAAGAAGCAAATGAATTGATTCATAAAAAAATTCTGCTTTCGAATAATAGATCACACAGGCCGGATGATGCGCTTTACATATACCCATTGATCTAAAGTAGTTGTCTTAAGGGACGTCAAGGCCTTTTGCGCAGTGCAGGAGAGCCTTAAAAACCAATTGTGAAGCCTCCTCTAGTATGTTGAGCTACGAAACTCCGAGAAATCCAAAAAGTTCTAGCTAAAGTCAAGCAGAAACAGAGGAGGTGTTTTAATGTCTGACCCATGACTTCCTCATTGGAGACCCTACATCTGTCATTGCTTCGAACTGCCATTCTGTTTGCATGGAATGTCTGCCCGTAATTAGGCCAACAACTGTCTTGCAGTCCTTACGTGAACGTATATGCAAGGTATGGATGTTTCTTTTGCTGCTGTTGGACAAATTCTCGATGGTTTTGCATGTCGCTAATGCCTTCTATCTCGCTTTCATCCATCACACAGCTCTAACAGCAATCTCATTATGGATACTTTTTAACGACTTTTGTATATCTTAAAGGGGGCTCGTTAGCAAGACCGATGACACTAGTGACAATTTCATCAGTTATTGCCATACTCATAGCCTTGGAACCTGGTATATATGCAGCAGTCGACGCTCGGTCGTCCTGTCTACTGCTTCCTTGTTATTGCCTTAAACACATATATACTGCTATTTTTATATGGATTCCTGCGTTGCTAGCTATCTCAAGGGCTTTCGCTACAGTAAAGATCTCCGTCTGTAAAATACTGCAGTATTTTTGAAGCTTGAACGGTAGCCTGAGGTCTAGCTCAACGCAATAGACTCCGGCGCCCTCTGTGTTCGAAGGTTCTAGCGGAGAATTTATAATTTAGGCAGCGCTCTCTACTGCGATTTCATTTAGTGGGTCAAGTAATCTTTCAGCGAGCCGCGCTACTGGCTTCTTCTTCACAGAAGCTCATTCGCCACCACTCTGAAGAGTTCCTCTACGCGCAGTTTGGCTTCATTCTACTTCTCATTATTCTTACTGCAGCTTTGCAGTTTTTTTTATCCATAGTAGGATGACAGACATCTTGAAAAACACAAATTTCCTTCATACTCCTTTTTGAAAAAGAAGTAGCATCACTTGCCCGCGTTTGGTAAAGCCAAAAGATGGGCCTTCCAATGTATAATCTAATAGACTTTTTCAAGCGTGAGTTCGGATCTGCAGGAAAATCTGAGAATTCCAAAAAAAAAGATAAATAAATAAATAAAAATAAATAAATAAAAATAAATAAATAAAAATAAATAAATAAAAATAAATAAATAAATCATCAACCAGATATTTGAGAGCTCCTGCCACCACAAAATTCCCCCTCGCTGCATATTTTTGTAACACTGACAAATCGCCTAAAGAGCTCTTTCAGCTCTGGCTATAAGATGTATTAACGCATGAATCATCGTCTTGTTTTTTTCTCTGCTTTTCCGGTTGGGTTGCGGTAATAACTCATCGGCGTTCCACGCGATCACAATTTTACTTTCCACATCTGCTCTCGGTTGGGTTACAGCTGCAGGGAAAAATACTAGCTGTTAACTAGAATGCAACAAGTTTGAATTTTCATATTATTTATTTAATAATATTACAATAAAAAAACTATAATTTAGCTGAGTAGCCATAGCAACAATAGGCCTCAGCCTGAGTAAGATGACAAATAAAAAATATCTTAAAACTAAATAAAAAAATAATAAATATGAAAGCTGGTAATGAAAAGAAGACCTTTTGCTTAATGTAAGTTTTTCAAGAATACATTGTATTTGTAACACTCTCCCCACCAACATTTCATATGCGTTGAAGAGGTGGGGCATAAAGCCTCATTCAGTTCTCATTCGCGCAAAGAAGCCACTGTACTTGTGCAAACGTTCAAATGTGTATGTGTATGTATGTATGTATTTATTTTAATATATCTAAAACATCATCTGGTCGGCACTACCAACTCATATCTGCTTATTTTTATGAATGAATCAGACTGGAAATATGCACGCGTTCTGTACTCAGCACGATCTCTCTCTCTCTCTCACTTTTCGTCATTCACATTTTTCTTCCGTTAGTTAGTTTTGTTTAGCTTTTTTCAATTATTAACTCAGTCAAATCGTTGATTGTCTAAATAAATTATAATTTTATATATTTTTTATTTTATTTGCAACGGCAATTCGTTGGCCGTTCGTTCGTTGGATACTTTTCTGTTGCCATAAATATGTAGCCGAGTGGTTAGCGTTGCATACTGGCATTCAGAAGGCTCGGGTTGAAATCCTGGGTACGACCAACATTCGAAAGCTATAGAAATATTAAGTTAAAAAAATATTTTGTTAAATTTATTCTAATTGCGTCCGTCCTTCGGCAGGAAATGTCAGCCCCTCCGAGTGTATTTGTGACATGAAATAAAGGCTCCGCATAAAAAATCCATCAACCGTTCGGAAGCGGCTTAGTATAAACTGTCGGTCCCTCCATTTAGGAGCTCGGCCGAAAATCGCTTTTGCGGTTACATAGCGTCAATTATATAAGCATCTACTGCCGCTGTGCGTCATATCTTGTCATCTACTACATGCATATGCTGCTCTGCTCGCCTAACTGTCTGATATATTGCTGACAATTCTCGCATATCGTAGGCAACATATGTTATACTATGTACATACGAGTATTATGTTTTGTTTATATATTTCTACGTATGCGATATTAAAATTCTGAAAATCATCGAAGGCGCAGGCGGGCTATGTGTTATAGCTCCCATACAACCGATTCGTTCAAATATTGGAATTACAGTCGTGTCTGGATGTAGTGAACTAGTTATTGCTGGTATTGAGGTTGTTTACTAGATCAAGTTTGCTGAAAAATTCGTTTTATTTGCTCAAACTACACTTTGAGTATTCAAATTGAAGAGAACATTAAAATAAATTAGTAGAACGCTTATTGAAAGAATTGGTGATGCGAAGTTTGCTGCTTGCGTTCATAAAGTAACTTTTGAACTTTTTTTTATTTTTTCGTGGGTCTTGTACTGTCTACAGCACATGCGATAGCTTTATCGAAACTTTCAATAGCTTCAGTAGCTTTTACAGAATTTCCGGCCAGTTGGTCTTGTCTTGGTCGTCATCATACGATTCTACAATATTTATAGCTATTTTTTCAAAATTATGCGTTCGTCATCTTCGATTGTGTCGTAGGTTTCCTAAAATAGAGTAACAATTAAACTTAAGGGGTTACAGAGGACTTGAAAGCTAAAAAAATCTTATTTTCTCTATTTTGTTTTTAAATAAACTAAATAAAGTATACAATTTATTTTCTTTACAATTAAAAGTACAATATGTGGACAACATTTGATGAAACTTTGAATGAGAAATAGTATAATTTAAGGCGTTGGCAGTGTCGTGAAGTAGACCGTCCACAAGAGAGTGCTTTCGCGGTAGTCATGATAACTTTTTCAATTTTAATCTGAGATCAAAAATACAAATTTTCTTCCAAAGTATGTGAATTTTCCTTGTCCCTGAACGAAATAAAATTAAAAATAAAAATTAAATTTTAAATTTTTTGTAGCGTTTTTTACAAAAAAGCGTCCTATTTTGCATAAAATTAGGCCACATATTAGCTTGTAAAATGAGTTGAAATCAAAGATAAAATAAATCCTTCGTTTAACTTCGACTACAAAAACATGCATAAAAGAAGTGTGGAAAATATGAACTCGAACGCTTCAATAGTCCTTGCCAAATTTTGACTACCGATTTCGATTAATTAGCTTTAAGAAAAATTCGTTTAAAGTTTCGCCATCGGTCAAGCCATGACAAAGACGGCGGGTTGTAAAACTCTCTAATTTCTACAGTTTCGTCTCGATCGAATTGAAACTTGGGGAAAATATTCCTGACACTTTGTACTTTTATACAAAAAGTTATCAAAAAAATGAATTTTTTGAAGTTTCAAGACCTATGTAACCCCTTAAGTAGTGAAAGTGAAGGAATAGCATCTTCTTCATCTTCGCTTTGATTCGGTTGTGTTGCATTGAAGCTCTCTAATAAAGGCTTCCAAAATTTCACTTTTACATTTGTCTCCAGCTGTCAACTGTAGCGCTGGATAATTATGCGAATCACATTTTGGTCTATAGGCTGAAACAAAGGCGTGACGTTAGCTCATTTTCCGGGGGATAACATTGTGCGTTGTGAAGCAATAGAAAAGCATTGGTTTTTAAGCCATTCAGTTGAAAAAACTTTTGGCTCTAAATACGAAGAAATAATGTATAAAGCTGCAATGAAATTAAATGTCCATAGAATTCATTGTACCTGAGGGACGAAATAATGGCGGCGCCATTCTCTTAAGACATTTACAGTCTTCTATGCACTCTTAGAATTGCTATAGTCTATCGGGATGTCATGTGACTTAAAAGAGCGCGGTTGCCTTTCACGGCCAATTATTAGAAGTTTGATTTAATTGATTAAAAAAATTTTTATTGATTATTAAAAGCAGATTTTTCAGTTTGCCCAACATAAGTAAGTTCTTTCAGGAAGCATCTTCCAGAACAAACCTGCCTCGTCTGCGTTGTAAATTTGGTCATTGTAAATTTTAAATTCATAAATAATTTTGCTGAGTTTATGCTTAAACGTTTCAACTGATTGGGTTTCGGATGACAGTTTTTCACCGGACACTTTTAACAGCCGAATTCCAAAGCGGAATTTTAACCCAGATAACCATTCGGAGCTGGTATGAAAATTACTATCTGTTTCATTAATAGTGGTGTGCAGCTTTTTTGCTTTTTCCCTCAGCATTTCCCCACTAGCTGGACATTTTTTTTTGCGTTACTCCACAAAGCAGTTGTGTAATGTTTTCTCCATGCGGGGATACTCGCCTGTTCGAAGAGCATTTCTCTTAGATGTCCCACTTGTCTGGTGAGAGATTATGTTTCGTTTCCTTTTGTTTATTCTCGAAATTGTTGATTGAACCACGCCATATATTTTAGCTGGTTATGAAATGGCAGCTCCTTTTAAAATTTTTACAACAATTCACAACTTTTCTTTTAACAAAGGAATTTCCGCGAAGACATTATTCCACTACTATTTTTTTTCACCTAGAATTTTTTAAATACATATAAAAAAGCTTTGCACTCTGTAAAAGATATCGCCACTAAGGTCAAGAAACAGCAGATATTGTATCAATGAACAATACAAGTACAAATGAGGGGAATACCTTCTTTCAATTCTGTGTTTTTTTATTGCTTTTTGCGTTACATTTCTTCAAAACAGTTTTTTCACTATTTAGAGTACTAAATGTAGAAATGTCACCATATATGGTGTTCACTATACCAAGCCACGACTGTAACTTTTGATCCTAAAATGAGATACCATAAAATTGATATGGTCATTAAAACTATGAAGGCAGCTCGTATTACTTGTTTTTTAAATAACTTTAAATTTTTTTTTTAATATTTTTTTTTTTTAAATATATTTCTCTTATTGTTTTTATATATTGTTTTTCTCCAATTTTTTTCAATTTGTTTCCTTAATCCCCTATATAAAATTTTCATGTATATCTTCTAAAACTAGATTAATTGCATATTTTTAGGCGTATTTTTTCAAATAAGTGCATTCACTCACTCGCATTTGGAATATTTTGAACATATGAATCTTGATAGATTTTAATCGAACTAATCTAATCTGAGTTAATGGTTCCAATAATAATAAACTCATATGTCTGTATATATAGTTGATTTTGAAAGACAACCGATATCGAAGGCCGACACCAGGTGGAAACAATGGGGAAAAACGGTTGCAAACAGACAAAAAATGTAATGTCATTTTTATTCCTATATAACACATACATATATATTTATATATATATATTTATATGTATATATGTATATATATATATGTATATATATATATGTATATATGTATATATATATATGTCGTTTTGTAAACGCTGAAATGATATATAATCATGTATGTATGCAGCGAAACGGTTTAAAAAAAAAAATAGATAAATTTAAGCTCTATCGTAACAAATTCATTTATTTTATTTAATATTTATATATGTATATGTGTATGTGTTTCAACTCCTTTATATATCTACATTATACGTATGTATGTTTGTTAGCATGCGCTTAATAACAATAGAATAACAGTAATACACTCAATTTTTTTATTAAGAGCAACTAAATTGCGTTTGTAAAATACTTAATACTAAACGCTTGGCATGTAAAAGCAATTATATAACTACCATTAAAATATATATTTATTAATTATAGTTTTTACGTTTCAAAAAGTTAATTTAAAATTGTGCACTAGTCCAACGGATTTCCATTCGGCACCATAACATTGATCATACCCGGCATAACTTCAGCTTGTAACGGTCCATAATCCACACGTTCGCCATCCACCGCCATAATGCCCTCCTTATCCGAACCGGGTTCAATGCGAAACGCACGCACCGGTACTATTTCAATATATTTATTCGGTTCCTTCGGCAGATGCGTGCCAGAGCTCATGCCTAGAAGGAAATGTGCCAATTGAGAACGTCCAACGCCAGCGCGGATGATAACCAAATAGATAATGCCATCATTGAGCCGTGATTCGGGTGCAAAGAAGCAATCTGAGGATAGATGTGTGGTGTAGGCTGCATGAACCATAACATAATCACCTTGCTCGGTATGCCAATTGTCTGTGGGCACAGGTTGATCGAGCGGAGGTAGTGTGGTTGGGGGACGACGACTTTCATATTCCAAATTTATCGATTCCAGTCGACTGAGTACGCTACGACGTGAACGTATGCTTTGATCGGTGATGGAAAAGTAAGCGGTACGCTTCGATGTAGCCGAATGCCAGCTGTCGGCGTTCGAACGAAAACTCATGCGATCTAGCGAGATGGCATCATCGAATACCTCTTCAGTTTCTTTTGACCTACCATTTGGAAAGTAATCATCTTCTCTTGCGCCCTCCGGCGGATTTGGTATATCGTGAAACTCCTGTACCTCGGGTGGCAAACGACGTTCCTCATTCGAAACTGTAGACACGCGCGTACCAAATGTTTTGCGCCCATCTTTACGGTCAGCGCGTATATAGGATAGCTTACCGCTATAGGTGCGCAAAGAGACTAGGCGCTTTATCGTCCAGAAAGTGAAACGCGTTGAGCCCAATGAACGCAAATGTTCACTTTCGATATCAATATCGGCAATAAGACCCCAACCGACAGATAGGAAAGAGTACATTTCACACGCTTTGCCTTCTTTTCCCGTGTCGATGCGTACCAAATCCATTTTTGCCAACTTGCCAGCAATACACGTCAATGTGGCATATAATATGGGTTTCGGCTCGTAAGGTTCCTTATAGAGATGTGCAATACTACGCGCGAGTCCATTACCCGAACCACAGGGTATAATCCCAAGTGGCAGTGCACGTGTAATTGCACGCCAATCCTCACGCTCCATTATGCCATTGAGCACTTCATAAAAGAGACCATCACCCGAGGCAACGATGATGCCGCTGTAATATTTTAAGAGATCCACTTGTTTACGCACAAACTCGCGTGCATAATTGTAGTGCGCAGTCACATGCAACTCGTAGGGCACATCGGCCTCCTTAAGCACCGGCGCCACCTGTTTGTGAAACATTTCACGACCCTTACCCGAACCGGATTTAGGATTGAGAAAAATCAGCAGCTGCTTCTCACCCACTTGATTCTTAATTGCCGCCTTATTAATGCGTATTGCGTGATGCCAACGCTCGGCCACCTTCATATTCTCCTCATAGGTATTGAACGAGCGAAAACGCAATATACGCACAGTACGCTCGCGACGCATGGTCGCTTTCTCGTTCTTGATATACGCATAAATATGCAAATAAGCGCTAATGTCCTTTTGTGTTGCCTTCTCGGCCTCTGGCTCTTCTACTATGCGCCGGCATGCTGTCAGACCGGCAAAACGATGCGATTTCTTTATGCGTGTGTCACAACTACTACCGATAATATCCTCCATACGTATACGTTGCTCGCTAATTTCATCTTGTTCGCCGGTTTCACGTCGCAAAAATATGCCCTCGGCATTCAAACGTACCTCCACTCTTATAGCACTCTTCTGTTTGTTGTTTATATAGAATAGTTCACTCAACTCGATCACACCGTTAGGTGAAATCTTCGTTACACTTGACGTCGGCGTTAATGGCGTGCTCACAGCACTTTCGGCGGTGTTGTCATATACGAATTTGGTCTCTGGCAGATCGAGTGCCATATTCCGGCAGGGATCCATTATGACTGCGCAGAGATTACACGACGTTCCCTGTGATGTTTGCATGCGTTTTATGAGGTTTATGTTGTAATATTATTTTGTATGTGGTGAGTCAGCTTTAGTGCGTTGCCGTTTTTTCTATTATTTCCTTTATATGTTGACTGTTTTTATTATCCGTGTGTGTTTTTATCTGCTCGAATTCACGCTGCTCTCTGTCACTGCACTGTGTTCGCTTTGTTATTAGTACCTGCCTGCCTACGGGTCGCACAGAGCACCTTAATCTACCGCTTCACATTCCGTACTCACACCTGTTGAAGAAGTTTATGAAATATTTTCAAGCGAATGTGAATAAAAAATATTTTATTATCAATTTTTTATTTTATTGTTCTTACCCATGAGTTTCGATATTTTGCCTTCAAATCTAATCAAATAAAACTGCCGTTTGTATGTGCGAGCGTACGTTTGCTTTATCTATCGCCTGTCCGGCGCAATGTTTGTTTCGATAAGCGCTGGGGGTTTGTGACTTGGTTGTCTGCGCTGTTGGTGGACCACTGCATAACTCTATTCAAATGTGTAGCGGTGTTCCATTGTTGTTTTTGTGCACCTTGTTTTCTTGTTATACTCTGTTTTGTCAACCCGTTTGGTCCACTCTACTTTTATTTTACTTTTTCGGGCTCTCTGAGGTAATACTGTCGTGGATTTAATTCCTTTTTATTTGTTTTCCATCACTATCATTGCACAATTTTACTCTTTCCACCCATTCTCTTCTCGTCTATGTATTGTTCACTCTTTTCTCCCAAAACGTTTACAGATCCTCAACAATTTCCGTATTTCTTTATGTCACATCTGCCAGTCAGCCAGTCAGCCAGTGAGCTTACCTTTGCCTGGCGTATTGTTGTTGATCTTATGCGGTATCCACGTTCAGCGTTGCTTTTCCCAACGAGTGTGATTTGTACAATGTTTCGGGCAAATATAAAGCTCGTTATATATTTGTTAGTAACTTTTTGTGTTTATCGCAACGCAATTCCATTGTGCAGTTGTTGTTATGTGTTCTCGCACTCACATTTAACTTGAAAGAGAGCGCGACTGTGTTTCTTTGTATTTGTTACCTTTGTGTCGAATTTACACTCAGCGTCAGATGTTTAAGAACGCGCTGAGTTGTGTGAACAGGTGTGAGGGTGGCCGTCTAATTATGTCTAATTATTTTCGACGAAGACGAAGCTGTAATATCATAATTCACAAGAAATCCTACCAGAGATAATACATTTTAGGAACATATCAAATCAAAATATGGTGGAAAACTAATCTACGAGAATTCCTGCAGGTTAGAGACTCAAGGCTTTACCCTTGGTAATACATAACTGTCGTAAGAGGTGACTAAAATTCAATAGTTCCCGCGACAGTCGGGTCGTAAAACGAGGGAACGACCCGAATTTTTTATCCGGTCAAATACTGTCACTCCCGCATTAATTCGTTGAATATTTTCTGGTTGCAATAACAACAACATTAATTTAGGAGAACGCATATTTTTTATTTATAGCTCTGGACTACTTCAAACACAACAATTTGCACGGTAGAAGTTATATTTGCTATTTTGAAAACCACCATATTATCCTCATCAAGCTTCTTGTTCAGACAACCTTATTCGATTTAGACCGGAACTAAAGATATCCACAATACGAACTAACGGTTATATCACTAGGCTACGCATGCGCCATGTTCACTTATTGTTGTTAATCAGTTGTTTACACAAATTTCTCAGGCAGAGTATGATACATCGACAATATGGAGTCTTATCTATGTAAAACTGGATAAAATAAAGATTTGGGCCAGCATTTAGGAAGGGCTGACTTGAACTTGCTTTATCGAGATCGAAGAGTGTGAGAATTGAGCTTCACACTATAAAGTCAGACTCTTAAATTTTGGGTATGGAAAAACTCTTACATACATACTCGTATATCTCGGTACTACTAGATCGGCTTCTAGCATCGCAGAAGTCTTATTAATAGCCATGTCTGGGCTTTCGTTTGAATAGCTATCTAGGGATCTCAACATTCTAACGACATTACAACAGCATTTAACTACTAATTGAAGCAAATTCAGACAGATCAACACTTTACTTCTAATCAGTGCATCATTCTCAAATCCCGACTCGTTTAAAGAAATCTGCAAATCACTTTCGTAATTGCGCACTTTCAAAATCCCTTCATTATGCATTTCACCTTATGCATTTGGAACGGAGTGTGCGCAGGTGCTTTTCTCCCCTACAACGACGTCAACTTGAGTTATGAGTCTGAGTTTGAGGTGTTTCGCGATCAAATGTATAAATTTCAAGCGTCTCCAACAACTCAACGTCAGTATGTATTTTCTATTTATGCATATTGATTTGTTTGTATGTTTGATTGTACCCCTCTGATGTGTTTGTACATTTGAAACGTGAGCATTTTTGAGTAAATACGAATATTTATTGTTTGTGTTCGCTTTCAGCTGAAGTAAATTTGAGTGCCTGAGTAAAAGTACATACAAACATACATACATACATATGAATAAATATGTATAAGTATATGCACTTGTTGGGCAGCGATACTCTTAAAGCGCGATTCAATTGGCTTCTCTCAGCTAAGGTCGCTGATAAATACACAAAGCTCCTTTCAAACACGAGTAGTCATATGCCGTCATTTAATTATGGGTAAAAATTATGTTTATTTTTTAGTACTAATTTGTCAATATGTAAGAACAAAGAGAATTGGGTTTCAATCGAGAAAGTTTTTTGCAACTAATTTGGATTTAGAACAAATGTTTTGGGGTAATATAATCAAACCAAGCGAAAGTTACTTTTAATACTTTTTTTTAATTTTTTTCACATTTTCTTAAAATGCATTAAAAATTAAAGAGAACTCTTTTCGCTAACCAAATATTATTATGTCAAGATGGTCGGAATTGGCTATGATGTATTCATTTGAACGGCACCGATCGGTCTTGCATACAATTCAGAGGGCTTATACATATATTTCTAAATATATATATACATATGTATGTTTATGAAAAATACAATTTTTTTCTTTACATTCGAAATTATTTCTGATTCCCGTTGAAACGAAAATCATTTAATCCTTCACTTGGTTAGTAGGTTTCTCAGAACCGAGCTCTTTTCGAGTTACAGTGGCAACTATGCTAAATATTGGGTTGCCCAAAAAGTAATTGCGGATTTTTTAAAAGAAAGTAAATGCATTTTTAATCAAACTTAGAATGAACTTTTATCAAATATATTATTGCCATTTTACTCGATAACTAACCTTTTGCCATCTTCCTGGCAAATTTAGTATTCCACGCTCATAGAANAAATAAATAAATAAATATTAATAAAAAAAATATCAAAATAAATAGATATTAAAAAAAAAAAAAAAATAAAAAAGAAAAAAAAAAATAAAAAAGAAAAAAATAAATAAAAATGTAAAAAGTAATAAAAAAAAATAAAAAAGTAAAGAGGTGAAAAATTATAAAAATCAATAAAAAAGTAAAAAGTAAAAAAATGATAGGAAAAAAAAGAAAAAAATTAAATAAAAAAATAATAAGATATAAGAAATATAATATAAGAAATATTTAAAAAATAACTATAAAATAATAACTAAAAATATACAAAAAAAAGCATAAAAAAAATAAAAATAAATTGAACAATATAAAACTTAAAATTGAAAAACTTAAAAAAAAAATATACAAATTCATAAAAACGTCCTTGCCATTGCCTAAATGCATACACATACGTACACATTTATTTATAATATTAGTGCAAAATCATTCAAATCAATTTTCACCCATAATTTTATTGGTGTAAATAAATACTTATAAATGAATTCTCTATGTATGAGTTTTTAAGTGTGAAAACTATACTCAATTTTCTGAATGAACTTTCAAATGTTTGCAATAAATTGGTACGTGTATGTAAGATTGTTTACATTGTTTATTTTCATCGTAAACAATTACTAATTAGCAGCCTCCTAGTAAACTCTACTTTGTTTGGTTAGCTTTTTAATGAAGATGTTTTTTTAATATGGTATTTACGGCTAGAGAAATTTCAGGCATTCGGTGTGTTTTCCAGTTTATTGACCGTCATAATTTCTAACTCGACGAGAACGAAGTTTTTATGATTTATTGCTTACATTAGAGGTTCATGAGTTCATTACACTCTCTCAAATGAAAATATCGTTTGAAGAGATGTGCGATCTAGAGGACGAAAAAACTCATCATTTTCTGCAAAGAGATGGAAGCTTAGCGAAATTAAATAATATCGTTTATTTTTTTGGGCTCTTCACTATCACTGTGAATTCGGAGCGTTATGATATAAGTCAAGTTATGGATGAGTTTCTCACAATATGCACCAAAAAGTGGTCGAAAATTCTCTCAAACGGATCGAGGTTCGCGAGGCGATCATTTGAATGGTGTAGTGTTTCACTCATAATGCCAAGGTTCAAACACTGTAATAAAAAAGGAAAAAAAAAATATTTTATTTACGTTAATTTTCGAAAAGCAGAATATATAACTTTGTATTATAAATTAAGTGCACTCTTCTTACGTATGTGTTGGTTTGAGAGATTACTTAAAAGAGTTAGTATATTTTTCTGTATTTATAATGACTAATAATTATGATCAGGAAATACCTTCGATAATACAAAAATCAAGGAGCGTAATCTTTTATTCAGTTGATAATAACACAGTGCAACACATACTTTCGGCCATAGGTTTTGGCGACTGTTGCTGGAAGTACGAGTGCTTATCTGCATCGTTACTTTTGCCCGTTGAGCTGTCGTTCGGATTTTATGATCTCATACGTTCATTGGCTCAAATTCGATTTCTTCACATCGCCTTAGCGTATCAAACTTATGTTTTGCAATTAATGTTTTAGATATTGAAACAAAAAAAAATATGAGTTTATGATTGCTATGTATGTATGGAGAAGAGATGAAAGTATGGGTTCTGATAATCTGAATCTCTTCGTGAGTGGTTTTAAAAAATAATAATCATCACCTGAGACTAGATACAGGAATCAATGGAATATATTCTACTGTGTAGCGTTCATATCTAGTGGTATTTTTTGGATCTTCAGTTCCTTCATCTTCATCTTCATAACCGTTTAATTTGAAATCAGTCACCTTGTTCGTCTGGGAAATTGTAGCAAAAATCTATCAAGGTGAAAATGAACAAAATATAAGGTTGTCAAATATCTCCCTTCCTACACTTCATTCAATGCTTTATAAAAAGTGTTACAGTGATGGGATTTAGTTAAAATATGCGCCGTTTTGTTCGATGATCTGTTTCCATCTAGACGGCAACTCCATAATACCTTCCACGTAGAAGCCCCCCTCCTTATTTGCGAAAAATTCGGACAGCCACTTTTCACAAGCCTCTTTTGAGTTCAACTTCACACCACCAAGGGCATTCGCCATGGACAGGAACAGGTGGTAATCACTTGGCGCTACGTCCGGGCTATATGGTGGATGCGATAAAACCTCCCATCCGAGCTCCCGTTCGAGTCATCAACGAAGTGTGTGGTCTGGCGTTGTCCTGGTGGAACACTACACCCTTCCTGTTGGCCAATTCTGGATGCTTCTGGTCGATCGCCTGCTTCAAGCGGTCCAGTTGTTCGCAGTAGATGGTAGAATTAAGCGTCTGCTCCTGACCGTCAATCCCGGCTTGGCCACTGTTTGGGACGATTCACCGGCCTTCGACCACGACCGTTTTCGCTTGATATTGTCGTATGTGATCCATTTTTCGTCGCCAGTCACCATCCGCTTCAAGAATGGGTCGAGTTCGTTCCGTTTCAGCAGCATATCGCAGGCGTTGATTCGGTCCAGAAGGTTTTTTTGCGTCAAATTATGCGGCACATCAAACTTTTTTTTGTATAGCGCGAATTTCGGCGTTAGTGAACTTCATGTTTACACGTCTATAACTGTTGAACGCAATATCCATAGCTACGAGCTCTGTAGCGCGAAATTCAAAAGACAAAAAGATATTTGACAACCTATATATATAATCAAAGTCATTGATGCACTGAGTTTTTTGAAGACACGCAATCAAATCAAATCAACTCATCTTTTTATCTAATCTGCCTATACTCGTTTCCGTAAAACGTCCTTAATTACTGCTTTTAATGCGCTCCCAGCTGATTATATATTGATTCGCGAATTCGAATTACAAAGGAAACAAAAGTATTTTGAAAAAACACCTTGTTTATAATTATTAGTTTACAACAGAACCTAAATGGAAGAATGTTCACTATATTCGATTTTCTTCACTTTATCGTACAATGTTTTATACTTTCACTTCATATTTATGCCGAATCCCACGGGAATGGATGGATTTTTGTTTGCATCCTTTATTCTTGAAACTGTATCATCTATACAATTGCTTTACTTCTGCTGGAATCAATATCATGGCAGTAAGTATAGGCATTTGCAGCTTCAAGGGTATATAATTTCTAAAAATCTCATTGGCGTTTTCTGCATGAAGCGGCGCTAACGTTTTTCTCTGTGAGTTTTCTAAGCTTCGAAAATTAGGTCAACATTTCTGAATTTTGTTGCAATAAACCCAACTTCGCCACAGTGAAATCCATTCAGTTTTTTGGTGCGTTATTTTAAAGATCGGATATCCAACGTGTATTGTATACATCGGTCGAATGATTGAAAAGAGTTGTTGCTGCAGGCGGAGGTTTGGGGCTTTGAGGGTGTGGTACTGGAAGTGTGGTAGTTAAGGCAGAAATATATAATTTTTTCGAGACCTTCTTCTGTTCAATCCAATATAAGAATTATTGCTTGTTCATATTGTTTGAGTGTTTAAGGGGTTACATAGGTCGTGAAGGCCAAAAATAAGCTTATTTTCTCTAATTTCTTAAAAAGATACTAAATAAAGTATACATTTTATTTTGTTTGCATATAAAAGTACAATATGTGGACAACATTTGACGAAAATTTGAATGAAAAATAGTATAAGTTAAGGCATTGGCAGTGTCGAGAAGCAGACCGTCTACAAGAGAGTGCTTTCACGGTAGTCAAGATAACTTTTGCAAGTTTTATCTGAAATCAAAAATCCAAATTTTTTCTTAAAGTAGGCGAATTTTTCTTGCCCCTGAACAAAAAATAAAAATAAAAAAATTAAAAATTGAATTTTTTGTAGCGTTTTTTACAAAATTCGTCATTTTTTGCATCCAATTAGGCCACATATTGGGTTGCAAAATGATTTGAAATCAAAGATAAATTAAATCCTTGGTTCAGGTACTACAAAACTATGTTTAAAAGAAGTGTGGAAAATATGAACTCGCGCGCTTCAATAGCCCTTGGAAAATTTTGACAACCGAGTTCGATTAATAAGTTTTAAGAAAAACGCGCTTAAAGTTTCGCCATCGCTCAAGCCATGACAAAGACGGCGGGTTATAAAGCTCTCTAATTCCTACTGTTTCGCCTCGATCGACTTGAAACTTGGGCAAAATATTCCTGACACTTTGTACTTTTAAACAAAAAATTGTCAAAAAAAATATGTTTTTTTTTTAAAGTTTCAAAAACCATGTAACCCCTTAAGTAAAACTCCAAAAAAAAATTTAATTTAACTCATTGAAATTGTAAACATTTTGAAATGATAAAGATCTCAAAAAAGACTTTCCGTCTTTCCCAAGTTGATGATTCATTACCGAAAAAAAGGTAATCCTTATTTATTATAGTCCATGATGTAATGTGCCTTTAAACTGATAGGAGACTCACTCACAACGTCTTTTATTTATGGTCCTGAAATCTCCAGAGTCAATCATGCACATATTTGGTTTTATCGATTTCGTTCCGGTAATAGTGATGCAAATGCTTCTATACGATGTGGAAGACCGATTGTCGCAAAAGTTAATAAAATAATGAAAATCGTCCAGTCTGATCGCCATGGAAGCGTAAAAAAGCTTGACCGAATTTCCACCTCCGAATCGTTGCTAATTCGTATGGTGAATGGTGATATTGAAAAGTGGATTACTTACGGCAATGTCAATCGAAAACGGTCGTGTTCGAAAGGCAGTGAAACGTCACAAACGATCTTCAAGTCAGGATTGACGGACAGAAAGGTGAGATTGGCAAGGAATCATCCACTATCAGTTGCTTCTATGCGGCCAAACTCTTAATTCAGGCTTAAATACCGTCTGAAACTGGACAGTCTGAAGGAAGCAATCTCTAACTATGGCAAATAAAGCCTTTAATTTAATGGCGAAATAATGGATTATTTTTTACTTGACTCAATATATTTTTGTAATCATTGTAGGCAAAAAAAAATAAATATTTGTGCACGAGAAATTTTATTTAAACAAATGTCACTGTTTACCTTTTTAATCTTCAATTTCTATATATGTATATATAATTGCGTTGAAATCGATTGAAGACAATAATTGAGAATGATAATATGGGCGCATTCTGCGCAATAAAAAAACAACAACAAAAGAAATATTCTTAAAAATGTGGGTGTTTTAAGGTATTTAAGAAATTCAATTACTTTCCGTTCATACTGCAAATGCCATCATGTTGTGTGTGTTTTAGTACAATTAACTATAATTGTCAAAGGTTTTTGTAAGTTTGTATCTTACTTCTAATTATAATTACATAAAGCTTGTATTTAAATCAAAAAATTTATCATTTGTTTATGGTTCCAAACTCATGGCAGCGCACAATGTTTCACAACAATAAATAATTGTTCTAAGCGATCGAATTCAGGCTATTATTATTTCCTATTGTTTCCAAAGCCAGAGAATTATCACTGTACATACAACCACATTCAAAGAAAAGACCCTGCTGGAACTCATACGCCATTTTAGCACCAACATTCATAATGCTACATCAGTTTGTGGTGCTGGACTTTTGAAAAAGCGTTGATTTTATGTAGTACAAATGTTTTGTAATTCTACTGACGTGAAAAATACAAAAAGAAAGATTCTCAGAGCTATTTTTTGTACTTTTATGAGATTTTCGTGGAATATTACGGTTTATTTATTATTTTTTTATATTTTAAATAGCTATTAAGTTCGTCTCCACCTGAGTTTTCCCACGCAGTGTTGACCTTCCACTAGTTGGTACTGTTTCGAAAACATTCAAAGCTGGAGTGCTGTCGCCCATACGGACGACATGACCTATCGAGCGTTGCTGCTTTCTCTATACTCCATGAGGTGTACCAATGTAGACTCATCGTTCTATTGTACGCGTAAGTGCAATCCATAAACCATTGTTCACACTTCAGCACCATTTAAAAACGCGAGGATAATAAGCGTTGCAATCGTCGGCCATGCTTCCATCCAGCCATAGAAGCTGAAGTATGTATCAGTCGTTCGCCGACGTTTTTGAATTTGCTTGGCCACTTCTTTTTTCTTCATAGTCGGGTAATGAAACATCCGTTCCATCCTCAACAATTAGGAAATCGTGTTCGCCAACTCCTGGTGTTACTCGTTCGCCGGCATTTAGCAGGCTGTTGAAGTATTCCCATCAAAAATACTGTATAATCTGCGCATCGGTTACTAGATCAACTCTTTGTGTCCTACAAGAGTCTGCTTCGATTTGAAACTTTCTGTAAGCCACCGTTTCGGCCTGCTTCCCAAGCTCTTCATACTCATACCTCTCTCTTTTCTTGACTGAAGATGCGCCTCGCGTCTCGTTTCTCTCTCCAATCGCTACCTATCCCATAACATCACCGGCTGTTTTTGCGATCTTTTCAAAAACCAAACGAGCTTAAATGACTTCCCACTTTTATCTTATAACGAGCGGCTGATCTCTCAGAGAGCAGGAGTGCAAGTCGAGTAGAATATCGTTCGATTGTCTGTTGTGATTACAGGTTTTCGATGTCCAGCCTTTCTTGTGATTTTTGACGGTAATCTTTGATACAAATTGGCAGATGAGTCTCTTGACTCAGACGAGATGGTAGTCTGAGTCAGTGTTATCAATCTGGACACCGACAAGTAGGTTGATGAATATTATTATGCTGGAATCTAGTACTACAGACAACAATATTTCCTGGCCTGGCGAAGTTGATCAGCCCTAACTCTTTCAGGGATGATTCAACGTATATGCTTCTTTGCCCACACTGGCGTTCAAATTTGCCAAACACAGTTTTGACATCGTGGCGGGGGTAATGCCGTCCTTCACTTCTGTCGGGGCGTGAAAGCGATATGTTGAAGTCCCTCGCTCTGATGCAGATTGTGGCAAAACGTTCATCCACCGATGTCAATGCTTGGAGGGAGTCTCTTTACGAACACTAATCGGATACGAAATTTGCGCTCCTTAATATGAAGTAAATGTTATAAGCACCTACTTCTTCCGACTTAGTCGAGGGACTTCTTCGACATCTAACAAGGGGATTAACCACCTGATCAGAGGTACCTTTCCAATTAAGGAATCGGACATACCTGGAAATTAGACTTCAGTGTACCCTTAAACCGAGACCTCCTCTTTTTTTAGACGTGATCCAGGCTCCACACAGGCTGGTTACCGCATACTCACCAAGGGTTGCTCAAGTAGACGTAAGAGTAGGAATTGAGTATATCAAACCATTACATCCATTAAAAAAGACTAGTGAGCATTTAGACCTGAGTAGCTCCACAAAAGCTCGCTCTCTTATAGACATGCCCCTTCTCCAGTAACCGCATAACCAAAAGTGTAGATGCTCTATTAATACCCATTTGGGACTAGTAGCGATGAGTTAATACCTAAGTACAACTAATCCGGGAATATACGCTTTAGAGATTAGTTGTACAATTTTTTTTTTTATACGGCAACAATAACAGATCCAATAACAATAGCAAAGCTAGCATATTATCAAATTACAATGATTGCACCAATACCAACATAAGTAATTTCAATAACTCTTTCACTGCTATTTCATTTCATTTCATTGTTTGCTTTTATTTTTGTTTTGAAGTCATCGTCATTAGTGCCAGCTGGGAATATTACTATGTTAATATGTATGTAGATATGTACATGTACATATGTGTGTATAGCAAGTATTAGAAGTAATTCAATGTTTTGTTGCTATTTTCCCCTTTCATTGTTAATAGTCCCAGCGCGCTGGTGGAAACGTTATTATTTATGGGTGTAAACGGCTAGATATGTATGTATGTATGTATGTATGTAGGTTTATATAAGTACATATGTATGTGTATTTCGCTTTGTTCAAATTCCGTCCATAATTTTGTGTATGTGGCTGCGTAAGTTTCGTCAATTGTTAAGTGATAACGGTCAATTGTTTTTTATTTTAATTTTTTTTTTTTTTTACTTTTACTTTTTCTACTTGTTCGATGCTCTTTATCCAATTGTTAACTCTCAACGCGCGCTCTCTCTCCGCTTTTTAATTTTTTTAAACTCTTTTTTTTATTGTTTTTAATTGTTTATCGTTGAATATTTTCCACTTCATTTTTTGGTTTTGTTCATCAAGTTTGTTGTTGTTTAACTCTTCGCCTCTTTTTGTCGTGTTGGCATTCGCTTTGGTTGGCAATCAGCTGCTAACCATCGCATCCTCTCTCACGTGCCTCTCTCTCTCTCCCTCTCTCTTTGAAGCTCTCTCTGAGCCACAGTTGACTGTCTAACTTGACTGTCTTTTCGTTTTATCTTTTCTAATTTTGTTTTCCAATTCAGTTGACGGTTTAGCTGTTTAGTTAGCCATTTGACTGTCTGTTGGCATTTATTTGCTCGCTGAAATCACCAAAAAATTCGCATATTTCAAGCGAAATTCGATTTATCAGTTTGACTTTTTGTGAATTCATCTGCCAGCTTATAAGCGAGTTGCAGAAGCGGAAAAGTAAAAAAAAAAAAAAAACACGAGAGGCAATCTTGGTGGCTCTGCGTTTGGCGCTGGTTGGCATTTGGCAATGCTGCATTCGATTGTTTTATTTCGTCTGCTTTGGCACAATTTTTGTTTTTGTTTTGTAACTAAAACTGCTTAATCAGCCGCAAGAGTTTGCCTACGTAAATTGTGAAAGAAATTAACTACGTTGCAGTTGCGTTCATTTATTTGTACTCATTTTTTTCGGTGTGACGTGAATGAATGGTGAAAGTGCGCGTACATTTGTTTGTGTGTTAGTCATTAAGTTTTTAAAAATTAATCGCAAACGTAATTAAAAATCGTCAAATATGTGCTGAGGTTTTTATTAGGAATGGTGCTTTGACCTCAGGTAAACAATGAATGAAAACCAGCTCTATTGCCATGAGCGCGTGAATGTCATATTAAATGCTTCTAGCAGCTGACACAACTCAGATTTCTAATAATAATAATTAAAATTTGTAATGTAAGTAAATTAATGAAAACAAAATCATTTTTTTTTTTTCAATGGAGGCTAATTAAGTTTGAGATGCAAAGATATTCTCTCATAGAGTGGCATTTATCTCATAACCGTTGTATAAAGAGTGTTGTTTGAGACATGTGGATTTCGAGTTTAATTAATTAATAATTTAATTTATTTATTTATGTTATCGCCAGGAGTTCAACTTTATTATAAATTTAAAAGTTTTCCCTTAAGCTTTAAAAATGAACGTGTAGGTCCCGTCACAGGATGTGGCAAACCCAAATGCTTCCTTTAGTAAAGTGGTTGTTTCGTTGGCTGTATGCCATGTACAGCGGGGTTACTGGACCCAAAAAGTCATTATAGCTGGCCTCGTTTTTGAAGAAATAAGGTGCAATGATTCCATCTGTCCAGAGAGCATACCACACACTGACTTTTTGAGGATGTAATAGCGTCCCAACAATGTCTTGTGGATTATCAACACTCCAAATGCGACTATTTTGTTTATTGTATTACCCAAACATTATCGATCTCAACAACCCCGCCGTTTGATATGATTTCTGAAGGCTTGATACAGTAGCGAAGCGAAAGGGACAAGAGGACAAGACGAAATATCTCCTCTCATCAAACTTACAGTCATCACATTCGCGACTTGGCTCCCAGGTCACTATTTACAGTCATACCTTTGAAGTCGTGGATAGTTTCGTCTATTAAGCGACCAGCATTAACATCAGTATTAAAATCCAACGCAGAACTACTCTTGCCAACGGTTCTACTTTCGACTGGGTAGGCGATTGAAAAATAAAGCCCTCTTTCGGCGAACGAAAACCAAACTCGACAAGTCCCTTAACGTTCCCGTCCTGCTTTATGGTGTGGAAGCATGAACGATGACAACACCTGATAAGTCGGCGTTAGGAGTTTTCGAGAGAA